CGTAGTTGTATAGATCATTTCTACTTTAAGCAATATTTTAAATTTTTTTAATGATTGCTTACTATTGTCACGTGAATACGTATGTCTGAGCTCTGGACTTAACAACGGCCGTTGCCGTTTCCCTAGTTATAAATATTCTTTTTTTTAGATTTTCAGAAAAATCAATTTAATGACTCAGAAATGTGAAGAATAAAATCTTTACAATACGTTTTTTCTAATTTCTTATAATATCATGTATTAACATTTATACTTTTTGATGTTTTACATCAGAAACAATAACACCTTCTATCCTATAGATCAAAATCAACATTCAATTTTAATGATAAAAATGCTCAAGTCTATGATGATAACAATAAATATGGTATAGAATATTATAGCTTATCTTTATACGAAAAACTCTCATCCAAGAGTAAGTAAAAGAAAACAAAGAAGCTTAGAACAAAAAGTATATGAAACTAAAGATATTTTTACGCAAACATTTGAATCAGATTATAAATTGGATAAACATCTTGCAACCTACAAACTAAGACTACATGTATCCGACAATGAATATCTCTTGAAAAATCAATCTCAAAAAAAATAATCATAATATTATTCAAAGCATCAATTATGAGAAAATTCCAATTCAGAAAACATATAATTAGATCTCAACAGAGGACCGATTTATCAAATTTCCTTCTACATATTCTCTCTTAAAATCAGAATTAGAAATTAATATCAAGGAAAGAGTATTGAAATAATGACAATTATTCAGAAATGAATACATAGACGCATCTAAGTCTAGAGTTCTGAATGAGTCAAGTCAAGTCAAGTCAAGTTTAAAGACCAACTCTATTTGACTCATTTTTTTCAAGTTGAGTCGAGTCAAATTTATTTTATAAAATCTTTCAATTTGATTTGATTTGAGTTTTAAACTCGACTTAATTTGACTAGACTCGATTTTAACTCGATTCAATTTTGACTTGAATTTATTCAAATCAAGTCAAGTTCAAATCAAGTTATGAGTCAATTTTAAATTTTTATAAACATTTAATTAATAAAAAAAAACGAAAAGATCAGGAGGAGGGGAGCGAATGATTTGTTATCATTTTTCTTGAATGATTTTTTTTTATCGTTCAAGTTGAACAATTCGTTATCGTTCTTCTTGAATGATTTTTTTATTGTTCAAGTCGAACGATTTGTTATCGTTCTTCTTGAACGATATTTTTATCATTCAAGTCGAACGATTTGTTATCATTCTTCTTGAACGATTTGTTATTGTTCTTCTTGAACTATTTTTTATCGGTCAAGTTGAACAATTTATTATCATTTTTCTTGAATGATTTTTTTATCATTCAAGTTGAACGATTCGTCATCATTCTTCTTGAACAATTTTTTTATCATTCAAGTTGAACGATTTGTCATCGTTCAAGTTGAACGATTTTGTTATCATTCTTCTTAAATGATTTTTTTATCATTCAAGTTAAACAATTTGTTATCGTTCTTCTTGAACGATTTGTTATCTTATCGTTCAAGTTGAACGATTTGTTATCATTCTTCTTGAATGATTATTTTTATCGTTCAAGTTGAACGATTCATCATCATTTTTCTTGAACGATTTTTTTTATCGTTCAAGTTGAATGATTTGTTATCATTCTTCTTGAACGATTTTTTTATCATTCAAGTCAAATGATTCATTATTGTTCTTCTTGAACGATTTTTTATCATTCAAGTTGAATGATTCATCATCATTCTTTTTGAACAATTTTTTTATCATTTAAATTGAACAATTTAGGTTATCGTTCTTCTTGAACGATTTTTTTATCGTTCAAGTTGAATGATTCATCATCATTCTTCTTAAACGATTTTTTTATCGTTCAAGTCAAACGATTCGTTATCATTCTTCTTGAATAATTTTTATCGTTCAAGTTGAACGATTTGTTATCATTCTTCTTGAATGATTTTTTTATCGTTTAAGTCGAACAATTCGTTATCATTCTTCTTGAACAATTTTTTTATCGTTCAAGTCAACTTGAGTCAACTCAAATCAAGTCAAGTTAAATATTTAACTCAACTTGAATTTGGCTTGACTCACAAATCATCGAGTCAAAAAAATATAAACTTGACTTAATTTAAACTTGACTCAGCTTATCTGACTTGTGAGTTAACTTGACTCGTCTGGAATTCTATCTAAGTCAAATAAGGTCCAATACACCAGTTTGAACTCTCACAATAAAAGTAGTAAAAGGATAAACAAAGTATCCTTACTAAAATTGCAGAATATACTGTATCACTTTTTTGATCAATTAAAAAATAAACTTTACGACTTTATAGAAAAGGATATGTGGCTTCTAAATGATGATTGTAGAGAAACTTTTACTAGAACTTTGAAATTACTAAAATTTTTTCTTTATATTTAGACCATTCTGAATTTGTAATATGATTCTTAGATGAAATAAATACTTGTTTATATAAAATCAAATGGAATATAGTATAATCTACATGAAATCTGACTTAGAAGAAGAAATTACAAATTATTTTTCATCTGAATAGGATGTATTATATCATCAAGAATACTTTTGAGCAAAAACTTGTTAATGAATATGAACATTGATTAGAGAAAGAATTTAAAAATCATATAAAGGAGGGGCTTAATGAGAAGATTTTAGAAGCTAAGGCTAATCTTGTGATTACAAAAGAAAAAAAAGTAAGAAAGAAGTTGAGTAAGAATAAATAATTCTATCATTATATCATCACTCAGAAAAACATTAGCAAAGCTTTATTATTTGATGTTAAATTTTTTATTTTTTTTTATAAGTGTAGCAGTCTCGCATGATCTTTATTAATATTTATGAATTTACAAGAAAAACAAAATAAAACAGAAAATACAAAAATATCTATAAACTAATCTAGTAAACTAAACTACTTTATCAATATTAATCTTACACTTTACTGAACTAAACTATATATTAGAAAAGAAAAGAAAACTAATCTAAACTAAAATACAGATATCAAATATTCAGAAGGAAAGATGTGATTACTGCCAGACCAGAAATTTGTCCAGTAAATACCATAGATTATTTGATGTTAAAGTTCTTTAAATTTGTATATTTAAAATTAAAAACATGTAATAATAGAATTGTAGAATTTCCATATTCTTTTTTTCCCTTTATTAATTTATTAATAAAAATTTTCTTAAAATAAATTCATACTTGATCATTTACCAAAATGTAAATTTCGTAATATTAATAATTTATAATACATAATGATAAAATTTTTTTCTGTAAATCTAATTTTAGTAATATACTTTATTTTTACTATATTTTAATTAGTTAGTAATAATAAAGAAGAATTTTATATATATATTTATTATCTTATTAGGCTGATAATTTGATGTAACTATGACTATAAGGCTATTGTAAGACCCCGAATAATCTATGTATAGGTCAGATGAAAATTTTAAAATTTACTATGATCAATAAGCAAACTATTTTTAACTCTGCTAAGCAAACTCTCATTATAACTTAAGAAAATTTGACTCTGCTAAGCAAACTGTTTTGTGACTTATATAT